AAACCTTGATATATTTTAAAGCTTTCCTCATTGTTTATTTCCAAACGTATAAATAAAACACATATATACACTTTCACAGAAAGCAGAAGTATCTATCATGCTTCCATCAGATGCCCAAAGCAATGGTTTTGTCTACTGCTGAGCCAGGTCAATCCAATCTAAGTCTTAGTGATGATTGAACATAATGTTTCCCCAAGGAACCCATTATGTAAACATGGAGATATTCTATTCATATATGTGGGACATATTATAGCCATTTTACAGAAACATTTGGAACTTCCTTTATTTTCTTATTCGTTGGTTAAGTGCCATTGATTCTGGTTTGGTTCCTGGTGAATATATGGACAAATGGTCCCCATTAAAAAACAGCTCTATAGCAATAGCAGTTAGACTTATATACCGCTTCATAGGGCTTTCAGCCCTCTCTAAGCAGTTTACAGAGTCAGCATATCGCCCCCAACAACAATCCGGGTCCTCATTTTACCCACCGCGGAAGGATGGACGGCTGAGTCAACCCTGAGCCGGTGAAATTTGAACCACCGAACTGCAGAACTGCAGTCAGCTGAAGTAGCCTGCAGTGCTGCATTTAACTACTGCGCCACCTCGGCTCTCTACCAAAGACATTGAAACAATTTATGTGATCCAATGTATTCATTTTTTGCATTGTTCTCTTGTTCCTCTGCTTTCCTTCAGCCTTAACTATCTATGGCTTTTTCTAGTCCATCATCTTATCACATACCCCAAATACGTGATTTTCTGCTTGCTGAATTTTTCTACTGGAGACGCCCTTCCCCCATAAGCTTCTGAGAAATGACAACATTCTTTGGAGCATGGAGGCTTGCGAAAAATCACCAAAGCAGCTGGCAAAAATGTAAACACTCATGTGCTGAAAATTGCACCCAAGGGGGGGAAAAAACAAAGTGCTGCTATAGTCAGGGAAGAATTTCTGTAAGTGTTGACAACTCAGCCACTAAAAACATTTGGTATTATTTACAAGTTTGATCTCAAGGGCAAATGAACTCAATACTTCACACATTTCCGTAACATCTGTTTAAGGACTGTAGCTGAGATATAATTAAGTGTATTTTTTTATTTGACACTTTAAAGAAAAAATCCCTACGTATGTCTAAATCCCAGTAGCAACAGGTATGGTGCAGGAAGCGTTTCAGTATAATTAAATAATTTACTTTCTACTATTATTCAAGTTTATTATAATAGAAAGTAGAAATGAAAACGAAGATCGTGGGGGAATAGAGAAGGGTAAAAAAGGGGGAGGAATGCAGGGTAAAAAGGGGAGGAAAAAAGGACATTTTTTTCCACTGAAGTAGAATACAAAATACAGTTGAAACCTCAAGTTTTTGTTTTACATATTTAGTGACTGATAGCCATTGTTCATCATTCGGTGGGTCTTTGGCGTTCAGTCATGCTGGCTTCATGACCATGGAGATGTCTTCAGATAGCGCTGTCTCTTCGGCTTTGAAACGGAGATGAGCACCCCCCCTACAGGCGGGAACCAGAAGTGAGTTCCAACCGGTTTGGCCTGATTCAGCTGAACCGGTAGTAGTACGGCAGCCTGGGTCACCGGTACTGGTAGCAAGCTAGGCCTGACATGACCCTGAACCAGCTCTCTGGTTGCCACTGTCGCAATCTCGTTTTTGAGTTCTGCGCATGCGCAGAACAGTTTTATTTGAACAGCGCATGTGCACATCCAGTGTGCGCACAAGTGAACCGGTAGTAAAGCCAGCCAGAACCCACCCTGTTGGAAACGACAATCACATATGTACGAGGGGAACCTTTATCTTTACCTTTTACCCATTGTTACAATTACAAAATCAATCTAATCATCAAAACCGAAAATCAAAGTTTTGGTTTTTCTTCTGTCTCAAGCATGAAGTCCAGAAGCATTTCCCAAGTGGAAACAAAACTGGATTAGGTTCCTTTTTTAAAATTAAAACAATTAGTTTTGCCACTCCTACCAACAAACAATATATATGAATAATTTCTTTGTGACTTGATGAAACTCTAACATAAAATTTATTTAGTTTTCCTAGTATCCGAAAGAATTGAGGTTCTAATTTCTAATATCTGTATCTATTTTTAAATTCTAGAATTGTATTGTCAAAGTAATATGTATTTCAAACAATGCAAAATGCAAACATTGTGGTATAGGGGACGTGTCATATAGGAAATGATTTCACGCAAATACTGACACACAAATTCTTCCTTTCTGATGCTAAATGCTCTTCTGGGGTGTGTAATTTGCACATCTTCTATGCAAACATGAAGGATTCAGAAAGAAAAATCTAAATTTTAATTCATTTTCTTCATATTTTAACGTTTTACTTACCGGTACATGCTCACAAGGAAGGTAACTTTAATTAATAATGTTAATCCAATTCCAGCAACAGTTTCAATTAAGAACAGATCACATCAAGTTAAAATTACAAGTGACACAGCAGGGCAATAAAGGGTTGAAACTATCATCTTCAATGGTTTCATGGAATGAAAGGCCTCGCCTTGCTCTGAAAGGTTAATGGAGAGCAAGTTGGGGCATTTTTCTGTAACTCAGACACAACTGCAATGGCTTTCCAGAGATGAAAACTTTACTGGAAATATATAAAGTTCTATTTTAGTCAAGATTTCATCTGGAGAACCGGGAGAGTCTCTCCCAGAAAGCATTCTTGTCTATTATGCATCAGGTTCAGGATTGACCAAGCCTGAATCAATATGCTTGCATATCACTCTCTTATTGCACCACTGAAATGTCTCTAGATCAGGGGTGTCAAATTCATGTCATCATAAATCACATGACATATCCCGCCCCTCTTTGCTAAACCGTGCGTGGACATGGCCAATGTGTGACGTATTCAGCCTGTGAGCTATGAGTTTGACAGCTCTGCTCTAGATTAAATAGCATTAATCTACAGCAGCCAAGAGTTACAGAGAATGACACCTTGTTGTCCTGATTTTATTCACATGGGCAGAAACAAATTTTGTATTGTGATTTTTCTTCTTTTAGGTACCTTAATCTACTCAGAGGCTTAGAGAACTCCTTGCCTGAAACTAGCCGTAAAACGAGATGCCAATTTTCTGCTCTTTGGAGATCACTGGGGTACACAAGTAACTTAACAACAAAGTCCCATTCAGAAGAGAAGGCAAATGGAACTAACTGTATGTCATAGCAATAGCAATAGCAGTTAGACTTATATACCGCTTCATAGGGCTTTCAGCCCTCTCTAAGCGGTTTACAGAGTCAGCATATATTTCCCCCACAGTCTGGGTCCTCATTTCACCCACCTCGGAAGGATGGAAGGCTGAGTCAACCTTGAGCCGGTGAGATTAGAACCGCTGAACTGCAGACAGCAGTCAGCTGAAGTGGCCTGCAGTACTGCACCCTAACCACTGCGCCACCTCGGCTCATAAAAGAGGGTAATGCTTACATCAAGTTATTATATCATGTGACACCTAATAGTATTCTCAGATTGCAGAAATCATGGGTGTCAAATTCGATCACATCACATGACATCACATGACGTATTGAGACGTTTTTTTGCCTTTGCGGAGCTGCGGTGGGCGTGGCCTGTGCATGTTGCTTCTGGCCCGCAGGCCACCAGTTTGACATGCCTGGCATAAATGCTCCCTCAAAGAGTATCTTTTGCAGTTAGCTAGTGTCATTTTGGCTACCTAAGCAATGCCACTCACAAGACAATTATAAACAGAGGAAACAATTCCTTAAAGGGCTAAAGTTCAGATAAATAGAACTTGACTTTTTAATGCTTTAGGACAGGGGTGTCAAACGCGATTTCATTGAGGGCTGCATAAGGTTGTGTTTGACTTTGGGGGGGCTGGGGGGTGGGCATGGTCAGGGTAGGTGTCACCATCATGTCACTTGTGTCATGGGGAACCTGTGATGTTCTGAGCGCTCTGCCAATTCAAATGGAGCTCAGGCGGGAGCTCAGGGGGGGCTCAGTCGCCACATACAGGGTGACTCCATATACAGGTAAGGTTTCTTCTGCGTGTCCTTCACTCCAACCTCCTTTCCTTCACAAGCACTTTGCAAAAGAAGGCACCATTGGTTGACATTGGTAGACTTAATTTATGTGGCTTTAAAAAAGTGAACTTGGAAAGAAAATCCCCCCCCCCAAAAAACCCCATAAGGGACTCACACAACCGATCAGATTTTTACCTCCCCATGTACTATAGTCATAGTCTAGATATGGAAATCAATATTGTGTCTTCATGTCAGTATTGACTTCTGGATAAATACCTGAAGTCATCAGAAGTGGGTTGCCTGGTGCCTTAACCACTACACTAAGCTGGCTCTCTATTGCATATTTACAATTAATAGCAATAGCAATATCAGTTAGACTTATATACCGCTTCATAGGGCTTTCAGCCCCCTCTAAGCGGTTTATAGAGTCAGCATATCGGCCCCCAACCATCCGGGTCCTCATTTTACCCACCTCGGAAGGATGGAAGGCTGAGTCAACCTTGAGCCGGTGAGATTTGCTCTAAGTAAATAAGACAAGAAATTGGAGGCTGACATCACTTATTATGCTCTTGTTTCGTCTTAGCTGAAAGCAAAATGCAACCGTTTGAGTTCTGTCACATGAAACTTTCAGTAAGACATATTTTTTTTTTAAAAAAAATCCACACTCCCTATAATGGATTAGACAGAATGTGAAAATAACTTTATCGCTATGAATTTAAATTAAAAAAACATAAGGCCAAATTCCCTGTTTTAAAACCCAAAATTTCAATTTTGCAAACCGTTGTATTAGTGAGTCACCTACCCTGCTAGCCATCAGTATAGAGATCTGCTACGTCACAGTGTTTCTCAACCTTGACAACTTGAAGATGTCCGGACTTCAGCTCCCAGAATTCCCCAGCCAGCATTCGCTGGCTGGGGAATTCTGGGAGTTGACGTCCAGACATCTTCAAGTTGCCAAGGTTGAGAAACACTGTGCTAGGAGATTCCAAACTGCTTTTGAGCTTGACCTTTACAAAAATGGCAGCCACCTTTTTTGCCTTCTCTTCAGCTCCTTATTTACCAGTTCTTTATAAGCTTCTGACTTCAGAAACCGCGGGAAGGAATCTTTGGCCATGAGGGTGTAGATTAATTGTTGAGCATCGTCAAAACAGCTGAGAGTTGGTTTCGAAATAGCCTGCGTGATGCGGTCTCTGGTATTGAAGTCAATGTTTATCTGCAGGAAATACAATTGTTTATTCTGCTGGATATGGGAGAGGTTGCCTGAGAGCCAAAAGCAAATAAAATTTGAATCGAATCCCGAAATACACTCTTTGATGCAAAGCAGCAGGAAAGTCAGGTTTTTGTTACTAAAATATTGAATACTAATTTTAGTTCGGTTTCTACTCCCCAAAGCTATTTATCATAATAACAACACCAAAACTGCAACAGGTTTTCTGGCACATGACTCCAGAGTTTTCATGCGCAGTACGTATGTATTTGTCATTCTTTTTCGCAGCTGGTTATTATTTGATTATTGAATTTCAGTGTGCATACATTTAAGGTAACTGGAAATTAATCCCAATCTCCTAATATAGAAATCTATAGGAATTACATTTGCCTATGTTCAATAGAACCATAAATTCTTTCTTCCCCTCTCTTATTTTTAGAAAGCCTTCATTCCTACTCCAATTAAAGCTTGATCTGACAGCCTCAGCCTTCTCTTTGTCACTGTTTAATCACTGAACTTCTATGAACATTAAAATTATTTGCGTGAATCTGAAGCTTTTTGTTTAGTATTTTGTTTCCAAATCAAATGTGAAAGTGCAAAAGAGAAGCAGAAAGGAGGCCATTTGATTGAATCATCTTACTATCATCGTGGGATAATTGTTTGTATTGGACCCAACTGTCAACAGACCTAAATCGTGTATTAAAATAGGGAACCATCCTGAAACAGCATGTTTTTAAACAGAAAATCAAATGAAGCTGGCTCTTCCTGTTTAGATATTTTATTCCTTTGCATTCATCAGTAAACTAATCAGAGACAAACTGACCACTAAACTAGAAATCCAAGCCAAGAAAGGTAGGAAGAACTATAAAATGCTTCAATGAATGCTTTTTGGAACAGAATAACTTACACTGGCGACACAAGATAGAAATAACTTTGATTTATGCAATATATACTATTCATCTAAAACTGGTAATAATATTGTTTTTTAGGCTGTTAACTGAACTGAATTGTATTTTCTTTTATTGTTCTATTCCAAGATGATAAGCATGGTTTGCTTTCCTCAACCCTTGTTACCCGTGAATGTTCTGCTTGTGGATATTTTAATTTTCTCACCATCTTCTGCTGCAAAGGCCTGGCGATGCATTTTTCCCTCTGGACTATTGGAAAATGTTATAGTGTGGCGCTTACTACATAGTCTGATTCATCAACTTGGCATCTACCAAATGTTTCAATTATAATTATCACAATCCCTGACCAATTTTAATATAATATATCATATGAAGAGGGATGTGAAGGCCTTTTCCCGGGGACCCTGGGGGTTCCGAACATTGTCATCAAAAACAGATGCAGGATGGTTGATGGTGTGTTATTTGATTAGACAATACTGGGCTAAAAAGAACAATAATCTAACTCAGTGTAAAATGGGTTTATTGGATTGTTTTCAGTGCTGATTTGTTTTCTGTATTCTCTGGGAACAGTGTCTGAATTTCAGTTGTATGGCACACAACCAATATTATGCTCTGTGCAATGAGGTTTTTTTTTCCCCCATTTCAACTATTTTTTTTCCAGGAACATCTAATTTCAGTTAATCATGCTGAAGATTGTGGGCCAAAATCCATACTGTAAGAGGTTCCAAAATTCTTAATCTGCATGCTTGTATGTTATCATCCCCAAATCCTGTGTCATAGTAGATCCTCAAAGTTAATGCCACAGAAGTCCAGTTACTGCTAGGCCGCCATCCATACTTCCCTCCTCAAATCAGACTTGAACCAAGGTTGGAAACCTCTTTTTATCAGAGAGAGTCTGGAATACTAATTTAACCATCTGCTCCAGGGCCTTTCTCCAAAGGGAGATTAAAAAAAAACCCAGAAAATAATGATCTAAGGGACATTCCCAAGTCAGTCTTTTTATGTATGCTTCTTCTAGAAGAGTTGGAAGATATTCTACTTTGTTGACCCACTTGGTGAACATCTTCTGGTAGCTCTTATAAACCAGAACAGTCATTCAACCAAAAAGAATTCACTCCAATGCTCATAATCCTTGTTCTTTTGTTTAGGTTGAATTAAGAGAAACCGTCCATCTATCTGAGTCCCCTTCGGGGAAAAGGGCGGCATATAAATGTAATAAATCCAATAATAAATCCAATCTATACATGTGGACAGCCACAACAAGTGGCTTCCTTGATCATCTCACCATTTGGGATGTGGAATGAACAACACGATCACAATCATGCATAAAAATCAAATGCATATATCCAAACTGATCAAAATATTCATTATTTTTTCTTTTGTAAGTAGAAAACAGCGTTTTAAAGCATCCATAACTGGGTTACCTCCCGTGGTGCATCAGCTTGGATAAATTCAGAGTAAATCCTTTGGGCTTTTGAAGCAATTGTAGCTGCTAACTTTGTTTTCCTGAAGTCCTCACAAGCGAGCCAAAATTCAATGTTTTCTTCACTGAATTCTGATTTCAGGAAAGCTCTAAATGCATCCAGGCCATCTGAAAAACCACAAAAAGAACGGGGACACATAAGCAACTTCTTGATGTGAAAACCATTAAATACACTGAAGACTATAAGAATAATTTCATTGGCTTTTATTGGAAGAGAACCAATGATTACCTTCCATGGATATCAGCCAGTCATGCCAGGACATGACACTTAATTGGTGTCCATTCTGGGGAGTGATTAATAAGAGTTAGTGGCATTTTTACTGGCCATTCTGGAGAGTGGATTTTACAATTTGGACCTCAAACTCAACCATCATGAGTATTCCACAAGGATTAGTTCATTAAGCCAAAGGTGAGATAACCACTAAAACTTTTGTAATTGTAATTACAAATTGTATTACAAATTGTAATATTTATTCATTTACATATCTCTATTTTTCCGCATAGCATAGCATAGCATAGAATTCTTTCTTGGCCAAATGTGATTAGACTCACAAAGAATTTCCCTCTGGTGCTTAAGCTGGATGGGATGGAATGAAGTGGAATGGAATGGAATGGCATAGCATAGCATAGCATGGAATGGAATGGAATAGAATAGAATAGAATAGAATAGAATAGAATAGAATAGAATACTTTATTTGCCAAATGTGAGTGGACACACAAGGAATTTCCCTCTGGTGCATAAGCTGGATGGAATGGAATGGAATGGAATGGAATGGAATGGAATGGAATGGAATGGAATGGAATAGAATAGAATAGA